ATTTTCTCTTATCATGGAGTGATATGGTGAGAGTCCTCCATTCATACTCCGGACACATTTTATGCTTCGTTATTATGTGATCAAATGAAGTTGCACCTGCTGTTTAATCCAGACATTTTCTTTTATCCATTGTCAGAGTTAATGTGCCAGGTGCTATATAAAAGAGAATTTTTTTAAAAAAAAAAAAAAAAACAGCTATGATAGGGAGCTTACAGGATGAAGGAAAAAAAAAAAAAAAAAAAAAAAGCACACAGAGAAAAAGATCAGTGGGAGGTCCAAAGAAGGCCAATAACAAATAAATTAAAATTCAATAAACTGAGGAATTCAATAGCAGTTGTAGTTCTGTCTTAGTCTGATATTGTGATGGAGAAGGCAGTTAATTGATTATAAGTCTTGCTGATGTGGGCCTTCTAAAGTACGTGAACAGCAAGTCTCTTGACACTGTGACCTATTTTGTGGATGGATGGGTTATGGAAGAAGTATGTTCTGGAGATGGAAACAGCATGCCTGTTTTTAAGGGCAGAATGAATGCATAAGAAATGAGGGCCAACATAGATACATATCTTGGTACAAGAGTTGGAAGGTGAAAAAAGCAAATTTAAACTGATATGTCAGGTTCAGAGAACAGATCGAAAGGTTAAAACTGAGATGATAAAATTTGATGGATGGATAAGGTTATTATCAAGCTGAGGAAAAGAAGCCATGGCAGATGGCTTCTGTGCAGGGCCTGTCAAAATGCTCACTTAGACCACACACAATCAGAAGAGAACAGGGTAGAAGAAACAATACCTCTGTTAGCTCATACAGAAATTTCACTTCCCTGACAACAAACACAAAGTAATATCCTACTGACTCACAGTCCAGTACCAAGTGCAGTTCAGGCACAATGAAAACTTGGCCCCAAGAGATTAGCTGCATCTCCTTTACCCAGGTCTTACAGGGATGTAATTCTGTTCCCTTCAGCAGTTTTATTTTGGAACATTGTACTGCAACCTAATCTCTAGACACAGAAAAGCAAATAGAAGAACCTAAGGCAACCTCCGTGCTTGGTCACTCATCAGAAACACTCTGAACCGCCTGAGCAATGGCACACAGTCATCCCCTCTATGGTGTACCCCCTTGCTCTTTTGGCCCGTGTCAATGAACGTTTCTGAGGCAGTGTCTCTTCAGCAGGGTGAGGAAGAGCTGAAACAGAGGCACTTTCCTAACAGACATCCAGCCTTTTCTGAGGACAAAAGCTGATTGCAAGCACTGGCCCATTTCATTTCCCACTGTATTTGTAGTAGCCTTAGGGTTGAATAAGCAGTCTGGATCTGTCAGGCTGGTTCCAGCTCAGCAACGTCTCCTGATATTTTGAAGCTTAAGTCTGGAGAACTGCAGCTGTGAAAGCTTCCTATCGCAGTCTCAAGTGTCGTCTGTGCAGTGCTGCACTGGAATGCATGACAAATCCATCAAGTTTTTCAGAAAGAAAAAGAGATATTAAATGTAAATGACAGTGTGTGCTCTCTTCTTTAGGCAGATCACAGCATCGTTTACTATACATCCAGCTTTCACAGAAGCAGATATCTCTATATTTTTTAATCCTATCATTTCAGTCATTATTTTGAGCCTTGTTGAGAGTGAAGAAATTTCTCACTATTTTTCATTTTCAATTTCAGACACAAGTTTTTGCTTTCTATTTAGACCAGTCTGTGATGCAGCCATTTGTAAGTGTAGAAGGGATTTTAGCTAGTAATTGTGGTCCTTGTCTAGTGGCTATGTGTTCTTCACATTGTTTTAAACCTTAAATTATAAATCATCCTATTTAAGTAATCTCATCTTTCTTTGCAATTCATTGCCGGTCAAAACACTCCAAGCTAATACTGCCATTTTTACGCATATCCAGTGGTGTAAAACTTTCTACTAGTAGAACCATCTTGACCAATGGGCAAGCTGAAATACTATTGATCTTTGAGGCAGAGGAGGTAAATGACATAAAATGAATACATGTATTTTATGACACTTGAATTTTAGCATGCATGAGAAAGAATCCTGTGATGATCTGCCTTGCTTCATTGCCATGAGATATGAAGATTACTGCAGTGTTCATGAGTGAAAGATAGGCTTTTCATTTCTATGGTCCATAATAAAAATGGTAATTCTTAGGAAAAAAAAAAAAAAAAAAAAAAAAAAAAAAAAAAAAAGTAAGCTGAACAAACAAAGTCTATGTATGTCTGTTATTGAAGGAATAATATGACTTTGAAGTACAGTTCAACCTCACACAAAGATTGTCTTTATGTGCTGCAAGAGCCACTGAGATTAATTTATGCTTCATAAGTGCAGAATACAAAAACTGAATCTCTTCAGGGGCTGAAGGCACTGACAGTAGCCTTTTGAAAAGACAGTCTAAACAATGAATTAGTGATGTGAATAGGTATAGTCATAAAGTATAAAGAAATAAGAACTCCTCATGTTTAGGAAGTAAGCTAATCACTAAGAGCTACTCATATCCGTCATGCAGATTCATAAATCTCAGTATATCACAGGGGAATTCTATGTTCCTTTGAAGCACTTATGATTGACCCTCTACAAAACAGAATACTGCTTTTTTGCAGAATGGAAGTTCTAACTTTTTAATGTTCTCTATAGTCTTTCTAGACAACAGACTCACTGACGCTAACAAATGTGTTCATACAGGATAGCTATCAAAAAGAAACCAATTATAAGCTTAATTCTACAGGATAACTGAGGCAGAAGTAATAACTGAATTGTCCAAATTTACACAGGAGTCTTATGGCAAAGTCAGAATCTGAGTTATGGATCCAGTTGCATGGCTTTTATCTTTCATTTTGAAAATGAAGTTGCGTCTCTTTCTCAAACATATCAAACCCATAAATATCTACTCTAGCTTAGACCATCTCTAGAATTTTAGTGTAGTTTTGAACAGTGTTTGTGAGAATAATGCTGACCTCTGGCACAGGAGAAATAATGTTATGCATTTTATTTTCTTAGATCATTCCGTAAGTGTTTCTGAATACATTATGTAATTTTGGAATGAATCAATATATTCTTTTTCAAAAATACAAAACTATTGTTTCAATGTAAACCTGCTTTACTGTGAAGTTATAAGTAAGATCAAGTTACTTACTTGAATAAAAAGGAACGTTTTGAATATTTTTTTGTTATAACTTTCATTTGATTCGTTACTCCTGTGCAGCCAAATTAGAGGATACACATATGAGTTATACAATATAGCCAAATCACATGAGCAAAGTCTCCATGGAAACTGCCTAATTTGTGCTTTTATTTAATTAGAGTTGTCCATTACCTCTCAAAATGAAATTTAATTTGAATTCATATGCCAGTCATTTTTTAAATTGTGTATGACTTTTTATCCATCATTTAACGAGACCTCTAGTAGGCTGTATTCTAGCAAAGTGAGTTTATTTAACAAGTGAGTTTGTAAATAAGATGTTTGTTTGACAGATTAGCTTTTCCCCAACTTTCTTAACACCCTAAGGACTTGTTTTCTATGCATTATCTGTGCTATATTTCACATTGGTATCTATTGTATATTCTTAACCTCAGGAACTGTCTAAACCAGGAACAATATTTTGAGTATCTACATGAGTATATTCAGTCATTTTGCTTTCAGTGACATAATTGCCAAGAAATCATAATATAAATAAAAAGAGCAACCAAGACCAAGAAATACATAAAATGCATGTATTTGTCAAATGGAGCAATAAACCAGGCAAAATGGTGTGTCCTGTAAGCCAAACCAAACCAAAGAAAAAAGAAAAAACAAAGAAAAACAAAGGAAAAAAAAAAAAAAAAGAAAGAAAGAAAACAGTATAACAGTATATCTGATACAGAGATTGAGATATTCTTTAGAAATGTTTGAGTTGGTTCAAATTTGCAGGGATATCTGCCTGTGAGTTATTTAGAAATCATCAGTCCTCAGTCGTGCACGACAGAACTGTGTTCTGTAATATGTGATTCTGCCTTTCTTTGAGGAATTTCTGGTTGAACATGTAGTGGTGGACTATGGAGTACTCCATTCTTTCACTGTTCTGAGGTGTTTGTGCTTGTAGCACAGACAGAAAGAAAGAGTATAGCAGAAGGCTATATGAAACTACTTCCATTTCACTAAAACACTGGTAAATATGAATACTGAAGCAAAAGCATTAAAAATTATAAATAAAAATGTGTTTTTGTGTACATACATGAAACATATTTCTGATATTTTGCATCCTAATCTATATATTCTCAAGCCATTCTTGTAACCTAAGTGTTACTGACTCGGTTATAGCTCCATGTTAGAAATAGATTTAGATCCAAATTAATTTGTATGCTAGCATGATGGGAGTGAAAGGCAAAGGTAACAGGCTACAATTCTGAAAGCTGTATAGGCAGGGTAGCTAAGAGCTGCACTCAGTCCATTTAGTGGGTTTCTGTGCATCTCACTGCATTCATACAGCACAGACATATTGTCTGGTCTTGAGTCACTCTTCCAAAATTACAGAATTTGCCTGTGGCACAAAAGTAAATGTTACTGATAGGAGAAAAAAAAAATGTAGAATCAAAAAGGCAGTGAATAAAAATTAGAGAAAGAGGCTTGAGAATCAAGAGTGGCATTATTGTCATCAGAGCTGGGAAGTACTAAAGGTACAACTGGAGGACTTACAATGACTCTTCCTGAAATAAATACATTTTATAAAGAAAAAAAAAGGTTAAAAAAAGGTTAAAAGGAAACAGAACTTAACATGACTAAGCAAAGCTGAAAAGAACAATTAATAATGGGAAAAATATCTGGCAAAATTTTAAAGTTCAATCACCACTAGAATAAGTGGCAAAAAAAGATTAAATACTGCAACTAATAGCACCCCAACAGCATCACAGTATGAGAGATACTGAATGGTAAGAGGTATCATTGGGTGTCAAAACCAGCGGCGAGTTTATGTCTGGATAAACAGAAATATCAGAATTATTAAATAGTTACTTTGTTTCTGTCTTTTCAGAAGAAGAGGGTGGCGATCTGCTCAAGTCGGGCTTCAGTTTTCCAGGGACGCCAGAGGAGGAGCTAGGTACAGATCTCGTCTCTCAGGTCACTTGTACTGCTTGTACCCCAAGGCTGGGTGCAGCCGTGGGGGTAAGGAGGCAGGAGGCTGCTCTGTGGCACAGCCTTTCTCCAGCCACAGAGCCCACAGCGAGCATGGCACCAGGCGGTGTTAATGAGAGTGGTCAAAAGCCTCTCAGCCCCGTCCTTCCAGGAGTTTCTCACCTGCTACATAAGGTTAGAGAATCAAAAGTGGAAAGACGTCAGCTCTGGGTAACATCCAGGCAGCAAATTCAAAAGAAGGTGTTCAAGGAAATTATCAGCTTTCCTTCTTTTGTCTTTTCTCTCTCTACCCTCCAGACAGCACAATAATTACAGAAAGAGTTTTTTAATGTTTCCATTTAAACTTAAAAAATAACAGAAGCATCAAGAAAGTAGAAACTCGTAGAGCTCCTAAGTGAAATCTTGATACATCTGTATCTTAAAGCTATTAGTAAAATACCCCATTGGCTTCTGTGCAGCCAGTTTAATACCTTTTATTTTGTGCAAAATTGAGTTTCTGTTCCCAGAATTTCATATGTGGATTGTCACTGTTTTATGCAAAATCCATCAAAAATTGTTTTACATGCAATTGCTTTATGTAGTTATTTTTGGAATAGAACTACAGAAAGTGTTTTCTGTATGATTGCTAGTTAAAGCTCCCTTTATTCAAAGTGAGCATGCTTACATTTTAGAACATAGTAATTTTTCTCCTCTTATGCATATGTTCATGTTAATACATTGCAACAGTTTATTCTGTGTTATTATTATATCTTTGTGTATGAAAACAATGTTGTAAACTCTCACCTTGACTTTGATGTTGCATATTGTTAGGAAGATAAATCATACTTGCTATATTAAGGGGAAAAAAAGAACAGTTTGAACAAGGAGCATGAATTCAGACAAGGGATGTCAGTATATTTAAATAAATTCTTCGAACAGGATTTTCTGAAACAGTGTTGCCATGATTCAGTTACATTCACATCAGGGATTTCTGTAAACCTTTGGTGTAAAAGTATCTATTTTGGCCTTGTTTATCCAATTGATACTAAAAAGTAAGATTACAAAAAAAAAAAAAAAAAAAAAGGTTAAGTTCCAAATATTGGACCAAACGATGTGTTAAGGAAGAGACTGGGGATCATTCAGTTTGGTAAAGGTTACTAGTTTCTCAGCTTCTGCCTAAATTATAATTGTGAAAGAAGGAAGATATAATTAAATGTGAGGCTCCCCAGCAATGTCACAAATGAATCCAATGGAGGATTCACAGAAAGTCACAAGAGAAAGTCTCTCAGTCTTATTAGACATTTGTTTTGTTTGTTTGTTTTTGTTTGTTTGTTTAATTTTTCCCTGCTGTCCCATTTCACAGCACATATGCAGAAGTTCAGATACAGAATTCATTGCCTCTAACAGCTGGAACAGTTGTTAGAGGCATAGTTCAGAGGTAGATCTAAACTGTAGATATCTGGAGTTCCCTTATAGTCAATGAAGAGTGATAGACTTTTCTAGGACATAACAGATTTGACCTACTTTAGAAGCTTAACATAGGGTAAAATGATTCATGCCCTAGAAGTATGTCAAAACCGTTCTTCCCATTTGAGAAATAAATAAAGGATTTCTGAAGCAAGAGCAAATAAAAGTCAAGAATATTAAATGTTAACTGTGTACAGGATTAAGGAGCCTCATATGAAATAGTTAATCAAAGATTAACACAAAGATATATGCTAAAGTGATCAATTATCCAGCACCCTGATTACAAAGCAGAGGGGGGAAGAATCAACACAAATGAGGAACAGGAAAGTAAAGAAAAACAAGAACAAAGTCTTTCTACAAAGAACCACTCTACAAAGAAACTAAACTGCTTTAGAAAACTTCAGCTGTCCTGAACTTTCTGGCCAGAGGACAGAAAAAAAGGCACTAAAATGGAAGAAAGAGCTATCCTTGCTCCTAAGTGTTGGGTCCCTTTTGATGTCCTCTGTTAGTAAGTGCCAAAGTTCACTAGATAATGAATGGAGAGAAGTGAATACCTTTAGTATTTCTAGAAGGAAAATACTGTCTTCCCTACTTAACTGCAAAACTGTAGATGTCCAAAATAGGTGGACTGGATCCCATCAGTAATGTAAAAGCATATGATGCCCCTTTATAAAGAACCTCTGTTAAAAAGGAGCATAGTATGGAAGATGGAAATTGTGAAGACTTTTTGAAAGTTTAGGGATAGTCAGCTGAGTTCAGTATAGATAAAAGCAGCTATGCTATTGGAGACAGCAGAGATGTAATTGTTTGTGTGTCTCTTGATGTTGTTACCTGAGAGTTTGACTTCAAATCCATGATCTGAACCATTATTAATGCCCAGAATACCAACATGTATAAAGATAAGCATTCACTGGAGAGTAACATGAATCTGTGTGGATGCTCTAAGAATCTGTGTGGATGCTCTAATTACTGGGCTATGGAATAGGTCTCTCACTTTCTATCCAAGTGACTATTTAATATTTTTTTTTTTTGAATGAACTGCCTCAGTCTGAAGGACTGCTAGAGAGAAAAAAAAAAAAAAAAAAAAAAGGGCTTTCCTTGAAAAGTACAGTAATTGCCCCAAGTCAAGGCAGAGTAGAGATGATATTCTTTATGGTAGTTCTAACTAACTGCAGGGCCATTCATTATGTTGGATTCTTATACCTGCTCAGTGTCCCAAGGATCTTCAAGCTACAATCTCTCTGGTATTGAAAGATCTCTGGCTCCAGGCCCTTATTTGTAAAATAGGCTTAATATTTCCTACTGAGGTTTCTGGGCTTTGGTGGGAATTAATTAATGTTTGCATAGTATTTCACCAGAGTGAAAATGCTGAATAATCACTAAATAATATTATTAATACAATGATCCACTGCCTTAATTGGGAAGAGGTATCAAGGGATGGGACTGATCTCAACTGTTACATTATTGATCCTCTAAAAGAGCTCATTAGTTAATACAGGCAGAAATGCAATGGATTCTTTTAAAAGAGCTTACCCAAGCATTCATAGTCTTTTCTCAAGAACAATATTGCACAGCTTTTCCATTGCCATTTCTTTAACAGAGATTAGGGTGATAAGTATTTTCGTGGTTACATGGTTCACACTCACACCAAAAAATCCTGATCTTTTCACTAGGAATGTCTGGAATAAGCAACCTAATAAAGGTAGTAGGGCATAATAGCAGGAGGAAGAGCTCTGACATAACATGATCTCAAGCTACTCACTCAGCAAGGAAACTGGATTTCTTCCAGTTCCAAACTTTCTTCTATCCAGTAGTAGATAAAATCTGAACAATGTCACATATGGTACTACACTTTTCTGTACAAACTGGAAACTTCTCACAATCTTATTCATTTTAGGCATGTGTAGGGAAAAGCAACAATTTGCTTTGGGTGTCAAAAACAAATAGTGCAATCTTGGCAAGAGACATATGGAAAATGTGCCATGTTTAAATGCTACTTAAAGAGAATAAAACCCACCAACATGGGAACATGGAAGATAGGGTGAATTTTTCTGTAAATATAGATTTTAATTGGTACTACAGGCACGCAGTACAGAGGGAAAATAGATTATTGAAAACATATTTTGACTCTTTTTTATAGGCAAGAAAAGCATTTATTTTACAAGAGTTAAACATTTAGCTTCCAGTGTTATGCAAAGAAAGAAAATTTGCATTAAAGGCTTTTTGCTTCAGTAAATTTGTTCTGACTTCAAGAAATGAAAGGATATTGAGTTGATGTTAGGTAGAAGGTTAAAACCTATAAAATGGGTTGCGTTTACTAATAGTGTTCTTAACCTGCCCTAGTTGCAAAGTAAACTGTAAGGGAGTTTAGGGATGGGTTATAAAAATATATTTTTATTTCACGGTTGTTGCAGTCATGCTTTGATTAATTGGTATGGTTCAAGTGTCAGCCAGTAACTCATGGTTATTCAATCACTTTTGATTGCATGATCATGCCATTATGACCTTATGTGTTGAAAGGAAAAAAGGATATAGCTGTTCTTGAAATCAAAAAAATAAATAAAGGCCTGACTTTCCAGTTTGTCTTTCTACCTAATTATCCAGCCTTGCTCAGCACAGTCAGTCTGAACGCTGTGGACTTTTTATACATTTTAGTTTCTTATAACAAGCATGACAAGAAAATTTCCCAAGGACAAACAAACACTCAGCTGTCCTCTGTGCCAGATCCATGCCTCAGTTCGCCTTCCCTCAGAGTATCCAGGGAGAGTTAAACAGGTGTAAACTTGGGCTGGAGGGTAAGGGACTTCACTCAGACAAAAGGCTTGGCCACACAGAATAAACTGTTACAGAAACATCCCAGTAGTTAGCAGATATAGTAACAGGCACTTCATCTTAAATACTTAAGTGGGCATTATACTTAATACTTAAGTGGACACATATATATCAGTGGGCTGAATGTATCTCCACTCTGACAGCCCTCAGAGGTACTGAGTCTGCTTTTACACTGGTTCTATGGAGAACAGAGGTGGGGAGACTACAAGAGATACCCACAAAGTTTAACTTTAGCCTGGTGAGGCAAGGGCAAGCCTGTCTGTAGCTGTTGTCATCAGTTCCCATGGCTTTATCCTAGACCACAGAAAAACAATCATATCTGAACTGGAAATCCTGGCTGCAACTTTCCCAAGTTCTAACCACAGCACTATCCTTCTTCCATATAATAAAATTATGTAGACAGAGAGTTTGGTATAGAGGTGTGGAAATCTTTTAAATTTATGGGAGGGTTTAAATATGAGACACCCCAACAACTGTCTCTTGTTTGCTCATTGAGACTAGCTGAACAGATATTGCAACAAAAAAAAACAAACAAACAAACAAAAAAAAAAAACACTCCAGAATACTTCTAAATAATTTAACATCAGATCCTTGCTTTTCCTCTATCCAGAAGCTGTAGTGTAGAAAATTATGGATGTGATGATCAAGACCTCAGAAAATGTTAATGAAGTAATGGGGAGTGTTTGT